GCTCCTAGACGTGTGCAGCTTTCCTTTAACCAGGAAAGCAGTATTAATATTTAAAGAAGTAACTGTTGCTTAAGATGCTATTGTGCCTGAATAATGAATTTTTAATGCTTTTATAGTACTTGCATAGATTAAAATCCATTATTTATTGTACTTCCACTTGCTTGGTAAAGGTGATGATTTTATAGCACCAGTAGTCATGCAACCACATCCATTCAGAACTGATTGCTGATAATAAATTTCCTTACTGTAAATGTCAGTGGGTTTTGTTTAAAAGTAAGATGACCTATCTTTATTTTGAAAGCATGATGTCAGTACTATACAGGTGTTAATGACATTCAGAGCAAACGGAAGCAGTCGGTCCTGCTTAAAAAGGGGCTGTTTTTCTTTTTTAAGATTCCTTTTTCCAAAGAGTTTGTAGAATGCTTTGCAAATAGCATAATTCCAGCTTGCAAGGAGGAATCGATATTTGCAGCATGAAATATGACATTGCTTGCTCTGCTTTTTACATTTTACTTTTAAAGCTTTTCATGTTAGACACCTCTTACATTTTTCAAAGACTTCTTTACTTGAAGGAAATAGCTACTTACGTTGCCCTGTACTGCAGGCAGGGTAGGTACGACGGTCATGTCCGAGCTCCGCGCTCCTTCCCTGCTGTGGGGAGTTCCAGAGCAAATCCCAGCGACTGGCATAGGCATGGCCTTCATTACAGAGGCTCTGTTTTTCCAGCAGGCTGAAGGAGGGCATTTCCCCATCTGAAGACTGTCATAATAATCCTGACTTCTTTTATAAAGTCCTTTGAGGTCTACAGATGGAAAATATTATATAAAGGATAGGTGTTATCATTGCAAACATTTGTTTTATTAAGTCACAGTTAAATGAAGAGCAGTTATTTGACAAAGAAGAAAAAAAAAGGCAATTCAGGCTGCATTTTTCCTTGCTGTTCTTCTTTTTCTTTTTCCTTTCCCTTCTGCTTCTGGTGTTTGTGTAAATCTGTGAAGGCTTGGAAGCACCATTTGAAAACATGTTTACAGATATTTCTAATGAGACTTTTTGGAATGCGGTTTTTCTTTTTATCTTAATGGAAGCTGGAAAAACATGCATTTTCCAATGATTTTTGTTCATATCACCTTGGTAAACATTGCTTTTTATTTCCCTTGTGATTCAAATGGAGCTTGAAATTAAAATAGCTCTGTTTGTTCGCTTTCTTGTTTGCCTGTCACTCTCGCTGACCTCAGCACCCACCTAGAAACAGGTTTGTTAATCATTTTCTGCTCCCTCCGATGGTTTTTTTACAGTAGCACAGTTCAAATTGCATACAGCCCATAGAGCAGTATCTATAGTACAGTTCTCAGTGACAAATGCTGAATTAAAACCAAAGCATTGCAGACAGGCTCAGAATCACATAAATGGGGCTGTGAAACTCCCTCCAAGCAATTCATTACTCCTCCCATGAAGGATCTCTGAGTCAATCCCGTGTTTCTCTTTAATACCCCAACAGTGGCACTTTTGCAGTCTCAAAATTAAGCAAGCGCTTAAGTGAAACCAAGTCCAACCTCTGCAGCTCTGTTTTACTGAGCATCTTCGTGGGCAGTCCTGGCAGTGACCGCAGCCGCTTTCCTTGACACCCTTCTGTTATGTCAGGATATATCTGAGCCTCGCACGCGCGTTCCGAAGGGAGGCGAGGGACGAAGGGCTCTGAGCGCAGGGAAGGGGCTGTTCTCATGGAAAGCCCTGCGGCCCCGTCGGGAAGCGGCGCCCGTGGGCCCGGCCTGGCAGCGGGAAGCGCTGGGGCCGGCGGCAGAGCCAGGGTAAGGCACTGAGATGAGAAAGCAAGACCCCACCAACACATTTGGGTAATCAGAAGCTTTTTTTTTAATCCCCGAGTTGAGTGTGCCGCTCCTAACGATGGCAATAATTGCTCTCTGCCTTAGATTAGTTAATGATTGCTGTTTTATTTAATAAATTGGATGCAGAATAAACAAGTTAGAGTTTGCTATTGACCTATCAATTATGCCGTCTGATTACTCCTCCGGGGAACATATGTAGTCATTTGTCCTGACATTTTGTTAAAATAAGGTGGTATTATGGGACCAATCCACCTAATTCCGTACTCCCTGGGGCCGTTTAGTGTACTTAGCTGTTGGAAAGGTGATTTTGGAAAAATGACAGCTGTTGGTATTGGGGCTGTTGTGCAGCGAACAAAACCCGTTGCATCCTCCTCCCGTCCTGCCTCTGTATCGTGGGCACAGCAGCCGTTTCAGAAATTAGATACAACTCTTCCTGAGCAAATTACATTATTGCTTTATGTTTCATTGTTGGAGTACATTTAAAAAAAATAAATAACAGCACTTGCTGTGGAAGGAGATGTTTGAACTTGGCATTGCTGCAAGGTCTATTTGGTTTATCCTATTAGCTGCTGCCGTTCCCATCTAATTATTTTGGTTGATGAGATGCATTAGAAGAAGTTTCTTGCTGTGTTCCTTTTACCATTGTATTAATTTTGTTAAAAAACACCTTTCAGTAGAAAACTGAAAGTTTCCCCAGAAGGCATTGCTTTTTTAGGAAGGCACAGCTGTCCGTGTGCAACATCTCATTGCTTTAGTTGTCCTTGATTGAGCACACGCATATAGGAGAACATAACTAGAAAGGAAGCAAGGTGCTTAGGTACTTATGTATTATTATATATTATGTTTGTAGTTATTTCCCTGGAGTTGCTGTGAAATCCCTCTGCTTGCGGGGAGGGGGTAAGAAAGGGCAGACCAAGTCTAAAAGACCTGCAGTATCTGCAGTCACTTTTAGCATTTCTATAATTGGACTGGATTTCAAGCCAGCTGTCCCATTGAACCTGACGATACCCAGAAAATTCTCTCTAAGAGATTTCTTTTCACAAACTCAAGTGATCGGAGCAGACTGGGTAGGGTTTAAATGCAGGAGCTTCGGCACATGGTTGTGGCACTATGAGATTTCCAGACCACCACGCACAGGACAACCACGGAGGTTGGAATTGGGTTATATCCTTTTAGCGTGCTGCAAGCAACCTAGTACAAACTTCATTTTAACCAGTGCCTTTGGATGGAGGGATGCCACTGATCATTTTAATTCTCTTTTAAAAATCTTTTCCAGTGATTTACAATGTTGAAATGTTACAGATTTGTTGATCAGATTTATAGATTTATTAATTATGGCAGATCCTGCCATAAGACATTTTCAATCTCCCTTAAAAAGTTCTGGCTTTGCTAGGCTGTTGAGCTTGCTTTGTTGGTGGAAACTTATATTTTACATATAACAAGAATTTGCAACCTGTTCTATGGCCACGTCCCAGTTGGTGAAACCGTTTCTCCATTTGCTTATGGGAATGCACTGGATTTCCTACCCATGTCATTGCAATGAAGCAGTCCACCACAGGTCACTACATTTTTTAGGATATCTTCTGGGACTTTCTCAGCAGAGGCCAGTCCCTGAGCTGGATCTGGTTCACCACTGGATGTCGTCATTGCACCGGGAAGAACTACAGCTGGAAGAACATTTGTCTGGCAGTAAAAAAAGATGTTGCCTGACTACATTGCGCACTTAATCCTGCCACATCCAAAACTGTTGCCAGACAGTGAGGTTTGTTTGCAGGTAATCAAGGCATCTTCCTGGTGCAGGGTGCAGACAGTTCCCCAGCTTCTGTGTGGGACCTTGCTGGACCCCAGGGCTGGCTTGTCACCATCACAACGCTGTAGTGCCAAAGGTCTCCCGGGAGGCTGTGTCCCATGGGCCTCTGGAGAAGGCCAGCACCATTGCAGTAACTTTAAAATACAGTATTCAGTCCTAGATGTTGACTATATACAGAGAAGATGTTTTTACTGTAATTCTGTAGGAGAAATTCAGAAGACTTAGTGTTATTAACCCTCTGTCTCTTACTAGTAATAGAGGAAGACCCGTTAGAAGTCTCAGATTGTCTCCTGTGTAAGAGTACCACAAAAATATATGAGAAAAGACTGTCTGAAAAATAATAAAGTAGCTCTGTTCTCTATTTCTCCCTTCAGTGCAGGTGTGAATCTGCAGTCATGCAGGCTGTGAAATGTGTACAGCTCAAAGCAGCAGCAAAGGCCAAGTGTGTTGTGCTTCAAGATGGAAAATGCCTCCCTGTCTCCCATTAGAAATTTGAAAACTATAAATAGTCTCGAGCAGAAGAAAAAGGATTTCTGTCAAACACACTATTATCTCTTGGCCCTTTCTACTTTCTTTTATTTTCTGGAATCTTTAAATTGCCTAGTGAAACCTAGAGGCGCCGATAAAATATACATGGAGTTTATTGTCTCTCCCACTGTACGTATTAGAATAAGGGAAACTGTGAAGCTCCTAATTAACTTATTTATAGCAGGATTTCTGGCCAGAGTGTTGATCTCAGTGGCAATGTGCTATCTTAACCATTTGACAGCCTTGTTTTCAATGTAGTTCTTCTAATAGATTTAACAAGAAAAGATTAATTTTATCATTTAAGGAGAGAGAGGGTTTTCAATGTGCTAATTGAACCCATGAAGGCATTCAAGATATAAGATTGTAATTAATTTACAAGTAACACCATTTCCATAAATAAAACAGCGAGAGAAAAAATCGCTCCAGAAGGTACAAAAATGGTCTCCACGTCATGTAAATATGTGCTCCCCAGGTGTTAGCTAAATGGCAGTAAATTACGGAAGAGACTGCGTTTCAACCCCTCTTTAAAAGACTCCAGCGCCTCTTTTCCAAGAGAAGCCAGACCATTAAGCTCTGCTAGTTTTCTGTGACCTATTAAAGATGCACATATTTCAACATTTTTAGTACCATTTATCCATTGTGTTATCTCGTGGAGTGCACAGGAAATTCATGTTAGCCGTGTCAGTGAGCCATAATAAGTTTTCTATGAATGCCAGGTAATGCACTGCTAATGGCTTAATGATTTTTGGCAGACTTTTCTTGTTGGTGGGGTTTTTTAAAATGTATTTCTGTGTCATTGTGCATTTCTTCTTCAGCTGGGCTATGCTCTGAACTACATAGATCGAAAGCTGACGCTCGAATCTAAGGTGTCCATCAATACAAGAATTGTGGTGGTTGGTGCATCCGACGTTGGAATCTCTTTTCTGGAAACACTTGTTTTTTGGTAAGTTTTTTAGTTGGCTGCCTTTACTGAGCCCTTTCTGAAAGGGTTCATGTCCTCTGTTTTGGACTGTATCTCTTGCAAAAGTAGAAATATGCTGTGAACTCATATTCAAATACTAGATGTTAGAGCTGTAAGCATCAAATCTGCGGAAGTAACAAGGTAGGTGCCTCCATCCTGACATCCCTGCCATTTATCCTCACTGCAGGTTGTATGAGAGAGGGAAGGTAGCAGGGATAACACCCCTTCTCCAGTGGCCCTCTCTCTGCACTATCACAGATTATTCCTTCTATTCCAGGACACCTCCATACCAATTTGAAGGGTTTACAGGAAGGCCAGATTATATAGGTGTGAGTAGATCTCAGTTTATGCAGTTGTTATTTTCTGCATAGCTAAAAACTTTCCACAACCATGAGTGACATTACCAGTTAAAATGCCAATACAGTAAAAGAAGACAAAAGTGAATTGCTTTGTGAATGCTGTTGTATTACTAAAAGAAGAAGGAAAAGATCTGATGCTTGCTGTTTTTTCTTGGTACAAATGAGGAACTACAGCCAGAATATTTTACCAAGATCAGCCCAAAAGATTATAATGCATCTAAGCTCCAACACATACCTCAGGCAGGAGCTGTCCTCTTGCAGCAAACAGGATGGACAGGTAGTAACACGTACGTGCAGAGAACATTTATCCTCTGGACATATTTCCTCAGCCAGGACTTTTCAGTACTGTCTGAAGCATATTCTGATGAAGGACATGTTCTTTTTGTAGGTGCTGGAGACAAGCACACTTCTAGGTACAAGTAGAGTGTTTGCTTCACGAGCAATGGAACATTGCTCGGAGAACTCCAAGAGCAAGCAGGCAGTACCCGGGGCAAAATGCTGCAGGATTTGTGTTAATTTATGTGTGTCTTTTTTTAAAAAAAAATCTCATTTTTAATTTTCGCATGAGCTGCAGATGAAAAATCTCCTGATCAACATGAAGATCTTTTAATACAGTTTAGTTTAATTTACTCTCAATTCTCTACTATTCCTTGCGAAGGTTGCATGCGCTAAAAATAGCTGGATTGAATCAATTTCTAAACCCCTAATCCTTAAAAAGAGGAAGTAGTTTTCGCCTCATTATTCTTTGTACTTAATTATTTTATATTAGCAGTCACCATGGAAACGCCCGCGTGTAATTCACTTACCTACCTAACAATTATTAGAACTAGATTTTACAAGTGATTTCAACTTGAGACCACAGAAGTATGTTTTTCATTGCATGCTAAAATAACAGCGTGGGTTATAGCTCCTGGCTTGCTAGCTGCCCCCGGAGCCCGTTGTGCTCCCAGGGTGACACTGCCCTTCCCAGAGTGTCCATCCCAGGATCCAGAGGCGCCTGGGGGACCTTCCTAACACAAGGTCCCCTGAGCATCATGCACCCATCGTGCTTAGTCTCCTGTGAGGATCTTACCCTCGTTTCACCATCCCAACAGGTATCTCAGTTGGGATTTTTATTTCCCCGAGTTGGGATGGGTGTTTCCGGCTGTCGCGCTGCTGCTCTCCCATGCGCCCAAGAGGCCTCCGCAGGCCCCGACGCAGGTTGTGCCAGGGATTGCTGCGGGAAGCAGCTTCCCTGGTGGATTAGGGAGCAGCTCCACTTGCCCCAGCCCTGCCGGAGCCTCCTCCCAGGCTTCCCTTCGCGCAAAGGCCGGGATTTCACTGGCTTTCTTGGGCCGTTTGCTGGAGCGGCCGCCAGCGAGTCCCAGCTCGTGAGGACAAAGCGGTGCCGCCCCCACCTATTGTCCCTGCCCTGTGGCTCCTGCCACCGCCGCCTTTGTTGCAGGGGGCCCGAGGACGCCCTGGCGCAGGGGATCCGGCCCAAGAGACCCCAAAAAAGAGGGAAAACAGTGCCAGGGGGTATTTTATTGACTTGAGCCCCTTTGTCTTAAAAAAAAAACCACAGAATATTGAGAAGGTTTTATCTGATATTCCATTAAACATTTGCACGGCCCACTCGTGGTTTTGCAGTTACATGGGCAGCAGACATTGGAAAGTTTTTGTTGTTCAAGACCCCGAGAAAGGGCCTGCCTTCCTTAAGACTAATAGAGGTTTCCAAAAAAAAGAGTATAAAAGCATATCGTTTATACATGAAAAAAGCTATTTTAAATATACAACTGCAAAATTTGTATTTGAAAATTATTTTGAAGTGTAAAATCTATTTTTACAACTACACCGTATGAGTAATTCTCCTACAGCATATTGTGTAAGAAGGAGTAAAAAACTATGTGCCGAGCAAAGAAAATAGTGGTCCTTAGAGGTGAGATTTGAGCATGGGATGTATCAACTGCAGTTAAATTAGCGATTTCAAAAGGCTACGAACAGCTGAGATGAGGGCAAGGGACCTGAATATCCCCCAGTTAAATCACGGCTGCCCTAAGTGGGGCTCCATAGGAATGTCAGCTACAGCACATCGTCTTAATCTTTCCATTTTCCCGCTTTTGATACACACTAAAAATATAACTTCATCCCCAAATACTGATTTACCCAGAGGGCAGGGTTGCTTTGTGTTTTCTTTGTGTATTCCATCAAGTTTTAACTCTGAAGTTATGAACAGCAATCACAGCAGCAACTTTCAGCCAGATTAGCATATAACTCAAAAATTGACACACTTGCGGGGTCATTTCAGGGGGTGATGCCCAAAACGGCGCGTGGACCAGGGCGCTCGGGCAGCAGGAGGTTGGAGTTTGGCTGCTCGCGCAACTCCAGAGCGCTCCCAGCAGCATCTCGTCACTGGTGACAGCGTAGGGGACCAATTAGCTTTTTATGCACCTCTTTGCATATAGCTGTGGAAAGTGTTATTGTCTATGGGGAAAGCCCTTTTTAATCCATGATTTTGAAAACCTGCTTAATCCAACCTCTGGTGTAAACAATGACTTATTCTCCCCGGACACTGGGAATACGCACAAAGCGCCGGGCAAAATAGCGCCAAACTAATGAGAGGGGGGCTGCAGTCAGAAAAAAATTGTATGATAATGTTGTGAAATATGGTCCTTTTCACATTTGCATGTTTGAAAATAATTTGGGGACTAAAAAAGAAAAGTGTTAAAGTATATCTTTGTTAAAACCCTGTATCTTCCACTGAAAATAGAACTAGAGCCTCTCTAGCGTTGCAAATCTCCCAATTTTTGTCCACAGGACAGATTCTCCCTTTCTGAATTAAAGGTGCCCAAGATTAGCTTAGCAACAGCAGTTTTTTGGGTTTTGTTTTTTGGGGTTTTATTTGGCAGGTTTTTCCTGACAGAGCAGCCCTGATTCGTGCTGTCTGGCAGCACCGTATTACACAGTATCCCACACATCTGTCCGGGTTGGCAATACTTAGCATAATGCTTGCTGTTTAATTAGGCTTTTTATCTTTGCATTTGTCTGAGAACATCTGAAGCCTTCCATGTTGCCTGTCACTAATTAGTTGACTAATTAAATAGTTAGTGCTTACTTGCTGATCACAGAGCTAGCACGCGATGAATGGTTTGGTGATCTTCATTGTTTTATACTATCTATCTCTGCCATGTGAACCGGTATGCACGTGCTTCCTTTTCATCCCCTCTTTTTTTTTGCTTTCATACCAAGGCAAAGCCAGCACAATGTTGTTGTCGGCCATGTGTTCGGTGTCACCAGGCCTGTGTCCTTCAGACATTGTTGCCTTCCATCATTTGCAGTGAATGGAGATCACGTTGCGACAGAGATGAATAAGATAGGTCATTCCTTGCCGTGTTGTTAAGTGAGGAACGCGATGAATCTCGGCCGCGACGGATACGAGCCAGAAGCTGTGGCAGAGGCGCGTGGGTCGAGATCGTCCTTCATAACAGCCATTTGACAGGCCCCAGCCAAAAATGATCCTCAATTAGCAGCACTGTGTTATTCTTTTCTAATTATATTCTTCTATTGTGAGCCCATTTTCAACTTTATGAGACTCTTTCAACTTTAAACACATACAACTATTTGCCTGAGCTCAATTCCATTCTTTTGCACTTTGAATTTGCAGCTTTTCTTTTATGTTAATATTTATATATAAATAGCCCTAAGTTTTTTTTTGTATATTAGAATGGATATTGGAAACAGTAATCTTATAACAAAAGGCTGTCTTCAAATGAATTATAGAATAATCCTTTATATATATTTTTAGCATCTTTCATATTTTCAGAAGCCTGGTGACCAGATAGCTATATTAGTGTGATCATTTCAGCAGCTCTTTGCAGAGCCTGGTTCTGTGACTACCTGAAGTGTCTCGCAGCAACCTCATGAATGCAGTTCAAAGTAAATAAAGGTACATTCCACTGCATTTGGGTGGATTTAGGTGCACTTAGGTGATCACTGCATTTAGGTTTTGCTAAGAACAATTTTAGCTTGTGATGGAGATGTGCTTTCTGTTTTGTTCTTTATTTGTTTTTATTTTTGACTTTTCTTGAAGAATACTTTTCACTGAGAGCTGCTGCAGAACTGAACTGTAACTTCTGCTCTTTCAAGGCAATCAATAAACTGCCCACAAGTTGAAGAAAAGTAGATTTTTCAGAGTGGAGAAAAAATAATCTGGCTGGTTATGTTGTGATTCTGCCCTCTAGCGTTTAGTAGAGCTTTAATTCTCATTCACAGATAAGGATTTTAACACTCAGCGGGAGCACTGGGAGAAATGATTCGTAGTATAAGGAGATTCACTGTACAAGGACTTTGCCACGTAGATTTTCCTAAGCAAGAGCCTGGAAATGTCTCATCTCATGGTGAACAGTCCAGTATCGAAAAGGACCTCCCAAGAAATGTGCAGCGGGGGTGTCGGAGGAGTCGCAGTTTGGATTATGCTTCTCCTGTGCTACCCAAATGCAGTGTTTGCTCCTAGGATTCCCCAGTGCCAAATGGGAAGGCAGCTCAGATTGAGCCTCAGGTGATGTAAAGATAAAGGAGAAAGATGTAAAATTACCGGCACTTAAGACTCAGTTTTAAGTTGCTCTCAAGAGTTGTAGTCCAAGT